TGACAGGGTGTAGCAGTGTGTTATACAGGGTTCTACTCACCAAGTGCATATTATCCTGTAAGGCTTAATACCTAGGTTGGAACAAAAGGGCAGGCTTGGAAATTATAGCTTACGTCGCTTAGCACTCAGCACAACAGTCTGACTCACATGAAAACACGCGTGTGTGAACTTCATATATCCATGCAGATGCACAAGATGACACTGCCGTGTGTATGCATATTCAGAACTCTGACAGCTTAGTCACAGACACACAAAGATTTTGTAATGCCTCTTTCACGATTAGTTCAAATGCATTAAATCCTGTTTTAGAATTAACTGCCTTAAATAAATCACTCAATTTATGCCTGGTATTGACAAACAATCTGTAATTGGATGACAGTGTATAAGGCCCCAGACACACAGGCAAGTAGTCCTGGAAGTTGCTGTCAGTTGCTAGGTGAAATTGTTTGCAAAGAAGTATGCTGCACCTACTTGCATTTGCAGCAACAACAACAACAACAACAATCTTTATTTATAGAGCACATTTAAAAGCCAAGGGCATGCCAAAGTGCTTTACATAAAAGAATAAAACAATAAAACAATTAACACTATAACATCAGAGTCATATAAGTGTGGAATTATGTTCACAGGTAAAAACCACTAATAAGAGTAAACTATAGCGCATAGCTATAGCAAAGTAAAGCTGTACCATCAAACACAGTGATAGAGAAACATAGACAACGCAAGACAAACAGAAAAATTTATAGAATAACTCACTGCAAACAAGGCCAGGATTTAACTGGTAGAAAAAGCAAGTTCAAACAGATATGTTTTAAGCCGTGATTTAAAAGATTGAATAGAATCAGATGCCCGGATGTCAATCGGGAGATTGTTCCACAGCTCAGGTGCAGCTAGAGCAAACGCTCGATCACCTCTAGATTTCAAACGAGATCTGGGCTGAACCAACAATAACTGTGAGGATGATCTTAAAGCCCTCGCAGGAGCATATGAGTTTAAGAGTTTCTTAAGATAGCTTGGTCCTGTGTTATTAGTAATTTTAAAAGTAAGCAACAGAATTTTAAATTGAATACGAAATTTCACAGGCAACCAGTGCAGATCAGCAAGGACGGGAGTGATGTGAGCAAACTTCTTAGTTTTAGTTAGAATGCGTGCAGCGGCATTCTGGACTGTCTGTAATCTATGTAGAAGGGTAGAGTGGAGACCAAAATAAAGTGAATTACAATAATCTAGCCTTGACGTTACAAAGGCATGGATGAGCTTTTCCAGGTCATTGTGCGGGATATAATGTTTGGCCTTAGAAATAAGGCGAAGTTGGTAAAAACTGGATCTGACGACAGCAGACACTTGTTTATCAAGTTTAAATGAGCTGTCAAGTAGCACACCCAGATTCCTAACAGTGTCAGAGAAGGAGCTAGTGAGAAAACCAAAGGCATCTCGAAGTTTGGCACAGAGAGCGTCACTACCAAAGATCATAATTTCAGTTTTCTTATCATTAAGGATAAGAGTATTTGCCAGAAGCCATTGCTTGACCTCACACATGCACTCTCGAAAGCTACTCAAGGACAGAGCTAGATCATCATTTAACTCAAAATAGATCTGGATGTCGTCGGCATAGTAATGAAAAGCAATGTGGTATTTCTCAAAGATAGCACTTAAAGGAAGCATATATAATGAGAACAGGGTAGGGCCTAACACAGATCCCTGGGGGACACCACAGCAAACAGGTACAGCGGAAGAAGATGAGGTGGCCAAGTGAACCGAAGAGAGCCGATTTGAGAGGTAAGATTTAAACCAATCCAAGGCAGCGCCCTTGATGCCTACAGTGTGCTCTAGTCTCGCCAATAGTATGTTATGGTCAACCATGTCAAAAGCCGATGAAAGATCCAATAGCACTAGGACAGAGGGGCGTCCATTGTCAGCCATTAATAAAAGGTCATTAAAAACTCGGAGCAGCGCTGATTCAGTGCTGTGATGTTGTTTGAAGGCCCATTGAAATTTATCATTAATGTTATTCTCATCCAGGTAGGTCTGAAGTTGAAGCAGAACTACCTTCTCAAGAATTTTGGCCACGAAGGGAAGCTTAGAAATCGGCCTATAGTTGGCATAATCATTTTGATAGAGGTGACTTTTTTTAAGAACAGGTTGGATTATAGCATGTTTAAAAGCTGATGGTACATAACCGGAAAGCAAGGAAGAGTTCAATATGGACAATAGACAAGGTCCAATTGCACTAAAACAGTCCTTGACTATACGGGATGGAAGAACATCATGTACAAGATTAGTATTGTTCAGTTTCTCAATTAGATGCTTCAGAGTAGGGAGAGAAACAGGTTCAAATTGACAAAAAGTAGTAGAACAATCAGGAATGGACATACGATCTGTCACCAAAGGAAGAGTAGATTTAAGAAATACGACTTTGTCTAAAAAATAACTTGAAAATTTTTCACAAAGACCCGGGGAGCACGGCAGAGGCATAGAGGGACAGGGGTTGACCACAGAGTTAAAAATTTTAAATAAAATTCGAGGATTGTTGCCATTGGTGGTGATAATTTTAGAGCAGTCTTTATTGTAGCAGATTGCTTTGATCGAGTGTTTTTGGGCAAGGCAGCATCTTGCATGAAAACTAAGGGCGGCCATAGTGATATGCTAGTAAGCATCAGGGAATACACCTTACCTACTGACCAGAGGTTGGAGAGGGTCACTGACACGTCTCTAGATATGTGAGACTGAGGCCTAAAGAAGAAAAAGTCTTTGTAAAAGGAATTTGTTCTATGTAAAAAACACAAAGTGCTCTGAGTTGTAATGGAAGGTACTGTGATCAGATTTCATCCAGGTGAATATAGCTCATCAAATAATGAATAAATACACCAAACAAGTGAAAACGTCATCTGAGTCTTCTTGTAGACTTCAACAACTCTAACAAAATGTTTGTTGACAAGTCTGTGAGCCGTGTTTAACTTATGTTTTTAAACTGTGTTAACAATCAAGATAACAAAAAAGAATTGATGTACAATTGCAAACAGGCCCCATGGACTGTATTTATTACCAAAGATTAATGCCAAGGTGTGACTGTGGTGAAGAAGTACAGCTGCGACTCTCCGCCATATCTCAGTCTTGTTAGTGTGTGTGTGGCAGAAAGCCAGGTCAGTCTTCTCTGTTTTATAAATCTCCTTTGGATGGACTTGTGCAGCCATAAAATGCATTGATTTTGTTGCACACATTGTGGTAGGAGACACACACACTCACACACACATAGACAGATACAAAGCTGGTTATTGATACTTAATACACAGTAAACATATGCATATACGTATTATACGCAGTTTTTCACCGTTTGCCAGCCACAATAAAGGAATAAAAATGTAAACAAATAATCATTTAAATCATCTTGTCAATAAAATGATTATTAGCTATGTTCCTGATTAAAACTTTACAATTTAAGTGTTTAAAAAACAAACAGTAGCAATAAAGTTTTAACACTACATTAGCTGTTTTCCATAAACCAATTGATTTGCTTGCACCCTAAAAGTTTCTAAAAAAACCCCTAAAAAACAATAATAATGCGGTGCTACGACTAGGCGCTGACCTATTGCTTGGAGCATGCATGTGTGTGTGAGTGAGTAAGAGTGTTTTTTGTGCTTGGCACATATTTCTAGTATTCAACTATTCAATGCACCTGCATTTTACTAAAGCTCTCTCTTGTCAACACTGCAAAGAGACATTGAAACATCGTGTACGGCAAACAACAGTCACCATGTTCTTACACTCACATACACTCTCACACACACAGACACTTGCACAAATGCACGCACACACACTGTAATAGCATTCACATAACCAAACAATCTGCAATCTACTACAAACTCTGAAGTGCACACTGTCTAAAATAACCCTTTGGGGGGAACAGAATACAAAAAGACTCAGAGAAGCGGAAAGAATGAAACACTGAAATACACTCTCCTCATCTCCTTTCCTTCCTTCTCTTTTTCTTCTCTCTCACATACACACATGTGCAGATACTCTGTCTATTGACATGCAGATAAATCACAGCCAGTCCAAGCAGTCACTGATGTGACATGAAAATGACGCTAATCTGCTGTTACCATAACACGCACCGACACATCAATTATTAACGCTTACAATAACTCCCCACTCTCTTTTCTCTTTCTTGTTCCTCTCAAATGTCTTTTTCCCGTTGTGTACATCTCACTAAAAGAACGGGACAGAGTCAGTTAAAAGCACCCATGTGTTCGGGTCTTTTGATGACATGTATATTATAGAAGTGCTTTTTATCTTCCAAAAACTGTGATTTTTTTCCTTACAAATATGCTCAGTGTTGGTGAAGCTAGTAGCCCCAACTCTTCAGCTGCGCACATATGCTATATGAACGAAAGCTCTGGGCCACCTACCCTTAACACCTACAGGAGCTGCTCAGCCATTAAAACCCTTGGCATGAAGCTGCTAGTGCAAAGTTTTTAATGCTGATGCTAATGCCAGAGCAGGTTTGGATCTCTGCAGTTATTGATTTGGTGACTTTTAAATACTTTGTCTACACTGTAATTGAATGCAGCCTGACACTTTGAAGTGCTTCCTAAACACTTCCACTTTACAAAAATACCACTCACGGTTGATCATGGAAAATCTAGGATGGAAAACCGACTTGTTGGGACTGTGGCATCCTATTACAGTGCCACACTCAAATTCAGTGAGCTCTTTGGAACAACCCGTTCCTTCACAAAAACGTTTTTAAAGATAGACTGCTGTGCAGTGGCAATGGGACTGAAAACATCGACTTCAAAGACTAAGAGTTGGGATCCGATACTTGTTCATATAGTGCTTATAGGGTTACCTTTGTGAATCTTGAGAACTTATACATGTGTAATTAAATGATCAAATGGAAAACATGCTGTTATTATTTAGCCCTACAAAAGATAAAACAGGATATACATAAACAGCATGTATGTTTTTTTGACCCGCTCCTGTTCTGCTCTCCTCTACAGGCAATCGATTCTTCCTGACCTCATTTGGCGCGCTGTACATCTCAGAAGTGCAGAAGGAAGATGCCCTTTCCACCTACCGCTGCATCACAAAGCACAAGTACAGTGGAGAGACTCGTCAGAGCAACGGAGCCAGGCTCTCTGTTTTGGGTAAGCAACAAGTTACTCTATGAAAAAGAGACTTGTGTTTAAGTTTTAGTTTTTGAGATTTTTGGTGTTTGAAATCAATAAAACCTTTTTGTGACCTTTATAACCTACAGACCCTACGGAGTCCACCCCGTCAGTGCTGGACAGTTTCCAGTCCGGTGAGGTGCAGGTGGGGCATAATGTGGAGCTGCCCTGCATCGCCTCTGGATATCCAAACCCGACCATCCGTTGGCTAAAGGATGGTCGACCATTACCAGCAGACTCGCGCTGGACACGGCGCATCACTGGTCTCACCATTTCAGACTTGAGACTCGAGGATAGCGGCAACTACATCTGTGAGGTCACCAACAGCTTTGGCTCCAAAGAGGTGACGGGTCACCTCAACGTGATAGGTGGGTAAATTTTTAATTTGCCTCTCCTGTCCTCCAGTGTTCCCCTCAAATAGCAACTGAGTGCAATAGGCAGAAGTAGTAAATGTGACATCAGGACACAAACCGCAATAGAGACATCTTTTAAGCTCTGTCGGTTCTGCCGTGGCCACCCTCGTCTAGGTCGAGCATGAGCTTGATATTTAAGGATGGCTTGCTCCCCCACTGTGTTCTCAAACCGCAGTGAAGCGTCTCCACAGTGACAGAGAACAGTGGTCATGCAGGCCTGTCGCTCCATTTTCCGATGGGTGTGTGAGAGAGAGGAGAAGGTTATGGAATATATACAATAACATTAATGTTAATATAAGAGATGTTAAAAGGTGACACACATAGAAGACACAGAACACTTAGAGGAGGTTATGGAGTTGGTAAAGATAAGAGATGAAATTTGAGGGTGGCTTGAGACGAGTTAGTGGACGCTGAGTACACTGGCCACAGGGCACATCATTGCACAGCCTACAAACCTCAAGTGACAGGGCATGCAAGGTGGGACACACACACACACAAATTTGGACAAGCATACAGTATATACACTCAGTGCCCATGAAGAAAGTCTTACACATTCATTGTCACAGAGACACACATGCTCACACACATTCAGCAGCCTCCAGCACCTAACACCAGCTGCTTTATTGCTCACTGACATTTTCTCCCCTTTTCGTCTTTCTGTCTCGGTTTTCCTCGCTGCTTAGAGCGTGCGCGCACACACAAACACAAAAAGACAGAAAAAATGATATACATACAGAAAGCACAGACTTATTATACCAACATGTTATTTGTGTTGAACAGCACAGAATAGCTCAATAAAAATTGCTCTTGCGCAACAATGCAAATAATACACCTTTTAGTGCCCGAGGGACACGCACCAGTTTTTGTACCTTCAATATTTGGGTAGCAACTGGCTTCTGTGTTTGCTTGCTGCTTACCGCTTCATCCCTTTTTATTTTTTAATTTACTTTGTCTTACCTGTTCCTTCTACCACCTTTAGAGCCACTGCGGGTTACCTTGTCTCCCAAAAATCTGAAGACAGGGATCAGCAGTACAGTCATCCTCTCCTGTGCTGTTCAAGGTTCTCCTCACTATATGGTGTCCTGGTACCGCAACACAGAACCTGTTTTGCCTGATCAGCACTTTTCAATCCAGGGTGCTCACAATGAGACGCTGTTCATTTCTGCTGCACAAAAAAGACACTCGGGTGCTTACCAGTGCTTTGCCACACGCAAAGGCCAGACTGCCCAGGACTTCTCCATCATTCTCCTAGAAGGTATGGAAAATTATGCTTTTAATATTTGTAAGAAATTGTCTATGTCTATTACTCAAAACTGTTCACATATAGAAAAGGAAAAAATAATAAACAACAAACAGCTTTTTGTTGATTACTATTATGCATATACTGTTACAGTGGTCTATACTCATATTAACCCTCTGAAGTCTAAGCAGTCATTGTTGACCATCCCAGCCCAACCACAACCATACTTAATCCTAGGAAATCGGAATATATCATTTTAGTTTTTATCAAATCGCTCTCTTACAGAAAGTCAAAGAAAGTAATCATTCCAACTTAAGCATGAAGACATATCCATATTTTTCCCAAACAAGTCTACTTTGCCTTCCTCCATAAATGTTGGAGTAACCAGCTAATCATCTCAACGTAGAGTTCTGCACAAAGTCCTGAGCTACTCCTTATTTCCCTATATTTTCCTTACAAGGAGCCCGACTTGAAATTTTTATTTTTTTGTAAGTGGTCTTGAGCAACAGTTGTTCAAGATTTGTTTGCTGCGTTTTCATCCATATTCAGACCAGTTCTTGTACCTGGCCATTTTCAGAAGAATGTGTTTTGTATGTTTGGGTTAAGCCATTTTCCGCTGAGCAGGTCTGCAGATGTCCGTCAGCACACAGAGCAGAGATCTGAGCAAGAGCAACGCCAACAACTGAGTGAGAGGACTGTTATTGTGTGTGTATATGGATAATAGCAAACACTGAAATACATTTCTTGCCCAAGCAATGAATTTTGTTGGCTCAAATTAAGCGTTTCTTTGCTCAAAATAATTGTATCCTCAAAATGCAACATTTGCACTTGCAAAATTTTTTTTATGTGCGCTCAGAATAGAGGCTCAAAAATAACAGCATAGAAAAAGTGTCATATTTTTGTATGGTGTGCAATGTGAAACTGGACTGAAAGTGGGTTATAAAAGAAGAAGTGGCAGGCTCGGAAAACTGTTTACAGCAGATGAACAAGACTTGAAAACCATGTTCTTATGAAATAAGAAAAAAAAATCCAGCAAAGACATGACATAGGACCTGAGAGATGCATCTGGCCCTTTAGTTGATCCATATACTTTTTGCCAAAGCCTCATCAGAAATGGTCTCAGTGGAAAGGTGGCTGTCAAGAAGCTGTTCTTAAGGGAGGGAGACAGGGAGAAAAGGCTGAGGTATTCCACAAGAACTGGACTAAAAAGCAGTGGCAACAGGTCTTATGGAGGGATTAATACAAGTTTGACATTTCTGTTAAAGTTATTTTCCAAATTTATTTGATGAAATCAGAAAAGAGGTACCAGGTACCAGCCATTTGTGAAACACGGTGGAGGATTTATGGTGTGGAGTTGCATTTTCAGCCAGTGGTGTTGGGCATCTTGTCAAATTGATGAAATTATGAATGCAGAAAAGTGCCATCAGAATTTGATCTCATGCAATATCATCTGGAAGGTGTCTTGATTCTTCTGCACTGATCCCAAACAAGCTGCTAATGCAATAAAATGTCTGAATAGAAAAACACAGAGTGGAACACTTTCAGTCGTGGATTGGCCTCCCCAGAGCTCAGACCTCAACATTACTGACCCAGAGAATGGGTGACAGAATGGGCTTGCCTAAGAGAGTTCATGCTGTGTTGAGGAGTAAAGGTGGTCATATCAGATGTTGACTCTGTTGTTCTTGTATACACTGTGTTTCCACTGCCCCCCACCCCTTTCCCGTTTTCCTAGCAAAATATAATGGCACAATATTTTTACAAGTAGTATATGTGAGCCAACAGCACAGGCTTCATTCTGCTCTAAAGACTTTGTTGCTCTGTCAGCGAAAGAGGAACTTGTTAATAGGGTCATCTCAGGGACACACCTCTGGCTACAAACACAGAAGCCCCGCCTACCTGCTGTTCAAATTCTCTTTGCTAGGGGCAAATCAGAAGAGAGTGGGCTTAGAGATTGAACTCGGGAAATTAGTTTAGAGAGGAGCAAAAGTAACATTTTTCCTCCAAATTCACACTTCACATCTCTTGTGATTGTTTCCAGATGGCACACCCCGTATTGTTGCCTCCTTCAGTGAGAGGGTGGTTGTCCCGGGTGAACCGTTTTCCCTGATGTGTGCTGCCAAAGGAGCGCCTCCACCCACCATCACTTGGACCTTGGATGACGAGCCTGTGGCCAGAGATCTGTCGCGTGTCAGAGCCAGTCAGTACACCCTGTCTGACGGCAGCACCGTGAGCCACGTGAACGTCAGCAACCCACAGATTCGTGATGGTGGAGTGTATCGGTGCGCCGCACGAAACTCAGCCGGTAGTGCTGAGTACCAAGCGCGCATAAACGTAAGAGGTGCCTGTCTACTTTTCAATATCAGTCATACGGAGGCTTCTCATAGCCTGACCCCTACCCCACCCTCTCCTGTACCCTTCTATATCTCTCCCTCTTTCTCTGTATGTGTTTTGCTTCCTCGTATATATGTATATTTTCAAAATTTCCTTTTAAAAATTTATTTATTTTTGGTTGTTTGTCCATCTTTCTATCTACACATTAATCTTACAAGGGAGTGTATTTTTTCTTCACTAGCCCTTATACTCTGTCTCGTTCTGTCTTCTTTGCTGTGCAGTTTGGGTCCTCCAGCTGCACTCATGCATAGATAAGACAAATACACCAAGTCATCTATCAAGTTTATCTAATTATATTCACATCAATATGTACACACATATGCATGCTTGCAGGGAGATAGAATATTCAAATGGAAACTTTCCAGCTTTATACTGTGAGTTGTTAATGGAGAGGACGTGACATTAAGGTAATCTGAGACTTGAACGAAGAAACCTAAGAAGGCACAGAAAGACAGAGATGTAGGTGAGGCAGAGTACTTGAAATGGGAGAAGAATAAGAGAAGGGGAGTGGCAATGTATGTTGAGGGAGTGATGGTAAACTCTGGTGACAGGACAGGTGATGTCACTGTCGTCTGAGATAACAAGAATGAGGAGTGACACCACTGAACAGGGCTGTATCACTGTCTCCATCTCCCTCTCTCTCACACACACACACACTCTCTGCTTTCATTGTCCATTGGTGAGATGTGTAGTTGTGACATGTGAGTCTGCCCGAAGCAGACATGCCAGAACAATCATTGGAGTGAGAATGAGCCCCGCTGCCAGAGAGTTTCAAGCCCACATGCAACACAAACTGACACAAATACAGCCACGACGCGTACACGGACACAGACATTCAGAAATGAAACAGCAGCACAGCGCTATGCTTATCCACTCACTCAAATGTGATACGCCCAACTTATCTCATTCAGCGAGGGACCCACAGCAGCAAGCATTCTGAGCCACACAGACATAGTTGAGCACACGCGTGTCACACAAACACGGTATCTGTGTTTGTGTGTGACGGTGTTGCTGAATAATACATCTTTGACTCGTCAGAGCTGCGACTTCAAAGGTTGGCACATACTGCGAAAGGGAGGGGAGAGAGACAGAGGGAAGTGAGAGGTAGGGGGACGGGAAGGAGAGACAAAAACAAAGATACAAGACGAACAGTGGCGAGGAGGTCAACAAAGAAGTGACAGATGATTGAGTGATAGCTCACAGTGTCTTCCAATGATGCTAAACAGAAACACGTTTTGTGTCGGCCTGACTGCCTGTCTACCTGTCCTCAGCCTTTCTCTGCCTCTTGGCAAGACTTTATACTGAGGTAGTTGAGCTTTTTACTAGTTGCTTGTTGTGGTCACTATTGGACCACAACATTTTAATAACACGTTTGTCATAATTTAGAACTGTGGAAAAGATAAAGCGCATTTCAGACACTGACACAAACAAGGGAGGGTTTTTACACCCAAAGATTTGCTTTGAAACCGTCAGAATTGGTTGGTCAGCATGAATGAAAACTCTGTTATTACTGGGCATGTAAAAGTGCTATCTTCTCACAAAATGAAGTACAGAATAAAGTCAAGTGTCATTTTAGCAGGGGGGGGGTTTTCCCATTGGTTTCACCCACTCACTTTCCCTTTCTCTGTATTTCACGCTCTCTTTTTAGAGATGTCATGCAGTCAATTATATTAAATCCCGGTGTGTTTAAATGTCAGTAGCATTAAATAAAATTACCATCTCTAGCCCAGTCTGACCTGTAAACAACAACATGAACGTTGGTGTTTTCTTCTTCTAGTTTCCGCTTGCTCCTAAAAGAAACAGTGCAAATTATCAAAAGTAGAAAGACATGAGCCACTTTTATCCAATTTATGCCCCGCCTAAACCTGAAAAAAAATGTAGTTCATGTTTATAAGGTTATTTTAGTAAACGTCTTAGTATATGTAATCTCCATAAACCTAAAAAAATTCCTTAAGATCCCACATCGGTGAGAAATGAGGTGAATATATTTTCCAGAGAAAACATCTGAGGGTGGGTGAGAAACTGTTTCCACCAGAAAAGAAACTTAACAGTAAGGCAGGCCATTTTAACCTCTCTTTCTCCCTCTCCTCTGCAAGCTTTTCTCCTCTTCTGTCCACTAGCCTTCCCCTACCACCCTCCCCGTTATTCCTAAAATTCCCGTGACCTGCTTCTGACACCGTCAATTAATACACTTCTTTTTTCCTCCTCTCTTCTTTTTGATCAACCCATCTCTCTTTCTGTTTTTCCATTTCTCTCCCCATTTGCTTGCTCTCTCCATCAGGTCCTCCAAGGATTCGGCCAATGAAGAATATCACCGCCGTAGCAGGAAGAAACACTTTCATAAACTGCCGTGTGATTGGGTACCCTTATTACTCAATAAACTGGTACAAGGAGGGACTTCTACTGCCTGACAACCATCGCCAGGTAGAGTTAGTGCTCTCCATTTCTGCTCCAAAATAAATGAATAACATGAATAAAAATATATCTTGGTATTGGTTTTTCATACAGCACTATAAAGCATTTAATCTATACACATATTTCTCACTGTGTGTATAGATTATCCGTAAGAGGCTTGTGTTCTTGTCGTTTAACAGCTGTTATTTAGAAATATTGTATATTTACTGTAAAAAAAAACCCATAATGAAACTTCGAATAACATAGCTGGACAAAATTACAAAAATTTGTATGTGTATATATATTAAAATCGTTAATTTATTTTTAGACAGTGTGGCTCTACATAGAGCAGGTGATCTTCATACATCCATTTTATAATGAAAGCTTAAGCAAGTGTTTAACCATAAAAAGGGATTTTGCTGTCCGAAACACTGACTTAATGATCAGTGGCAGCGCTGTTACTTTTTATTGTATGATACAGGCCTGTTACATTGCACTGTTTTGGTCCTATTTGATTTAGTAGTGTACAGAAAAAAAACCTGTATGGAATCTCGAAAATCCTTAAAAATTGGAACTAAATTAATTTGCAAAGCAAGTATGTCTCAGACCGTGGCTCAGGGGGTTGGGAACCGCATCTGTAACCGGAAGGTCGCCGGTTCGATCCCTGGGCTCTCTGTCCTGGTCGTTGTGTCCTTGGGCAAGACACTCTACCCTACTGGTGTTGGCCAGAGGGGCCGATGGCGCGATATGGCAGCCTCGCTTCTGTCAGTCTGCCCCAGGGCAGCTGTGGCTACAACTGTAGCTTCCCTCCACCAGTGTATGAATGTGAGAGTGAATGAATAGTGGTATTGTAAAGCGCTTTGGGTGCCT